ATCAGATATGACGCCTGCCCGGTCTTCACCAGAGCAGCTCTGGGATGCAGTGTGCTTCGTTAATGCAGTTAAAAACATCTCCCGTTGCTTCACGCACCCCGTTTGTGTTTGGTTTGACTGCGTCCGTCCGTTTCTATGTTTTCCCGTGGTGCGAGGAGGTTCAAACTGCTTCTGTTTCCCCACCGCGCTCTTAAAGGCACGCACCCGAGATGAAACAGCGCCGAGCTCTATTACCTCCCGGTCACATCTGAAAGCTTCTATATTTAACTCCCCCCCTCCCCACACACACTTCTATTGTTGTGCTAAATCCTCTTACGCTGAGCTCGACTTAGCATTGGGGGGGAAAAAAATGCCAGTTCAATACGTGGAAAGAATAGAGGGGGGGCCCAGTCAGGGCTGTCCCATCTGCCCCATACCCTGCTGTGCCCAGCAGTGGTATTTACCACCACTCAAACCACACATTTGCATGGGGCCCCCTGTTGGTCATGAACAGTCACTACAGTGGGGTAGCAGAGTCCCTGAAGTTACTTTTTCAGTGGGGCCCCAGTAACAACGAACTTACTCCTGGTTGTGGTTCCATTTTTTGTACATATCTGAATCCAGTACAGTTACTTCAATGTAAAACAGTTTTTCTGACCTCTTGTCAGGAGAAAAGCAGTTTTTTTTGTTTATTAAAAAAAGAAAATAATACATTTAGTTAGTCACCCGGATCCCGGTAATCAAATCATTGAGAAAATTACTTTAATGAGTACCAGAATTAGATGATGAGGACCAACACAATCCCCCATCCCAAGCCCGGTAAGAGAAGAGGATGAAAGCGGGTCAAGCCAGAGAGGAAACAGAACAACTGGACCAAAACATGTTGTGAAAAATCCATCAGAATTATAACTCAATTTCCACTTTAATAACTAGCTGAAATAGATAACAAAAAAGCACCTTTTTCATGAAGAGAGGAGCCACTGAATCAATACTCATATAAAAACCTGGTTGGCGTCCCCTAGATATAAATACGAGCCATATTTCACCCCCTGCTCTCGCCTCGGGCGTCCCAGGTCTGATAAACGGGGATTGAAGACATCCGAGTCTCATTTTTAACGCCCTTGTAGCAAGCAAAGGGCAGTTGGGCTGGACGTGGGGCTGGGCGGAGGCCAAAGGCAGAGGGCGGGGGGTGTGGTGGTGGCGGGGGCCAGGGGACGAGATTGTGCCATCCCCCAACTCCCCCGATACCCTTTCCTGCACAAACGGCTCCGTCTCACCCCATTAACGTGACGGTTGTTCTCACCATTGGCTCCAGCTGCTTTTTGGGGGTTGAACACAAACCCTGCGAGCCCACCCCCCCCCAGGACCACCGTCTGTGTAAGCGGGCTGGAAGCTCAGAGCGGCTAATCCAGAGGAGCGGCCAGTGATCCTGGCTCTCTATCCCTGCCAGCCTGCGCCATCCTCTGCTGTGTCTTTTTACCATCGCTGGGGGGGGGGGGGGGGGTAGGAGAGACGGGGAGGACGCAGGGAGGCCCGTAAGACAGACACACAGCGAGACCCCAATTACACGCGGAGATCCCAGCGACGTGCTCCCACCATCAGGTAGGCCGCGCATCAACCTGCCTCAGATGACACAAGTTAAATCGTTTCTTTTTTTTTTAAATCCAAATTTCCAACCTGCTAATTATCTGCTAATTATCTCGTTGATTAAGGAGCGCGCGGCCCTGTCCTGCAAGTGACAGGGCTGTTGATGAGGATTAATGGGCCCGCCTCTCTCGGCACCGGCAAGAAACAGGTTCATTACCGGCCCGATTGGGTCTCCGGGCCAGCGAGACAAGCAAGGCCACCCATGGCCACCTGGACTGGGAGCACCTGGGCGTGATCCGACTCAGAACCACTTTCCAGTACATGGGCCTTACAGTTCCACTAAAGGTGGATTGTAGCCCAGCACAGCGCTGATTACACCCTGCAGATGCTTCATCTCTGACACGGATGTCCCCTTTCATCGACCAGTCAGCCATGACGGGGTCGTATGTGTTATTTCATTGTATTATTCAGGATCTTCCTCTTCTCTCGTAATATCGCCGTTCTATCTGCCGATGCATAAGAAGGGAAAAAGCGTGACGTCGGGCCGGGAATCTCAGCTTTGAAGAGTCTCGGGTGGTGGAGGGGGCACAGCTGGCAAAAGGCGGTACGGGGACATGACCGGGATCCTCTGATCTGTGGCCAGAGAAGCTTCACAGATATCAGCTCCTCCATCTACGTGGGAATGGTTGAGGGGACTGGGAGGGCCAATCGGGAGTGCTCACCTGGGATACGCAGGAACGTTGGCTATTCCGATAGGAGGGTAGGCAGGAAGTGTGGGGGGGAGGGGGGGTGGCACAAATACTGCCAACAGCAGCATAAAGCTTTTTACTTAAAGCAGTCATCCCCATGGGTTTAAATGGAGCTTGAAGTATCTTCAAAATACGCACCTGACAGCTTCCAGTGACTGTGGCAATGATTATCACTTTCAATGCCTTGCAATACAAAAAAACCCACGCATTTCTGGACTGACACGACAAAGGGACCCTTTGTTGATCAGCCTCACAAAGACAATCCTGTCTCCATTATTCTATTAAAGGGTTTTTTTCCTTCCTGATTGTGCAAAGACAATAACTTGCATCAGTCTGCCAAGCGCTTCACAGGCAGGGTGAGATCACATGGACCAATCAGCTCACCCCCCTCCACTGCTCGTCTCCGCCTTCTCTCTCTCTCTGAATTCATGCTTTCCTTCCAGTCGGCACCCACAAACCTCCCCCCCACCCGTCATACACGGGTGCAGGCACAGGAAAGGTGGGTACATTCCCGTTCGATTGTGGCTTTTTATGGCCGGTCCTGTCCATTTTTCCTGATGGTTTTTCAGAATGTCCATCAGTCACGATTCAATTTATAGTCAGCTGGAATTCCAGAAGACTGGGCAGCAGCCAATGGGTGCCCTCTTTCACACCCTGCATCCAACCATAACGCCTGAAGGTCTGACCCCCCCAAACTGTAGCTCCCCCTTGTTTACACTTTTACCAAAAATCACATTGTTACGAATAAAAGATAACGGTCTCCTTGACTTTGGAGTCATGCATCGTTTCAGTTCATTGTGATTCTCCGTTTAATGGCTCTTACAGAGTTGGTGAGTTTGTGTTAAGCTATTACCCGGAAGGCAGCCATCTTCGCCTTGGCCTAAATGCCCTAGTTCATCCCAGAGACACTCCGCTGGGATTAATTCTCCGTCGGCCATGGCCACAATCCCACTTTATTCTTTGCAAACCAAAATACTTGCAGTATTCATGGATTCTACCAAATGTTGTGCAATTCAGGGGGGTGGGTGTGGCCTGTGCCTATTTGCAGGAATACAAAACATACCTATCATTACTCCATTAGCCCCCTCAACCTGAGTGGGAGCTACCCCACATTCCCAGTCTTTCTGAGAAACGAGATTCAGCTTCCCAGGAACAAACACAGTCCACGGTCATACTCGCAAAACCCTAATCCCATTTGTTCAGGTTTTGTTTCACAAAGAAACAAAGATGGAGCCCTTTCCAGGACAATGACCCTGCGGCGCCTCCTATGGGAACAAAGATGCAATAACAACACGAATAACCACAAAACTCCCTCAAACACAATTCCTAGATGTATGAATGCCGTGAAATTTTGCCTCTATTAACCCAAAACTGTGGATCAAGCATCCAGGAGTTGACTGTTGAGTCAGCGTGCAGCGGCGCACAGGGGGTCCACAGCCACGGTTCTGCCAGCGGCTGCGCCCGTTATTTCGAGCGCCCTTGTCCTCCTGCTTCCATCACCCCCTCTGGCAGACAGGCACGTTCAAGCGAGGCCGTTAAAGTTATTTAAAAGTGGCAGTGCCATTTAACGCCGGGGTCTGACCTTTTCTGCGCGACTGTCCGTCCTCAGCCACGCGAGCCGTGATGGATTGTCCTGGCGCACGAGAGGCTAACACACACACACACACACACACACACATGTTTGTGTCCATATCTTTGTGGGGACCGTCTATTGTTTTCTATAGAAAAAACCCTAATCTCAGCAACGGCAACCTTAACCCTAACCAAGCCCTGTCCAAACGAAATTCAAGACTTTTGGCATTTTTAGTTTTTTGATTGCATTCACAGACTTTTATAAATTTGAGGTTATCATTGTGAGGACTGAAAAAAATGTAAAAGGTTTTTATCACATTGTGAGGAAATCTGATCCCCACAACGTAATAATTAAAAAAAAGTCACATACACACACAGACACACAAACATAGACACACACTGCGGAACAACTTTCCGGATCATTTGTGCTTTACCAAAGCTGCCCTAAATTGGATTGCTAATTATGAGTACAAATGATAGAATAGTTAAAGAAGCGCGGTGAGTTATAGAGAATGTGTCTGCATGCAGATCTGCATGCATGCATTTGTTGATACATTTTCATACAATAAAATTGATGTATAGTGAGCAGCAGCATTTTGTGTGCCTGGCTAAGGAAGTGAGTGCGTGTGCGTAACATAAAACTGTTTACCGCCCTCCCCTATCCCCCCGCCTCCCCCCACCCACCCAACCTTGAGAGACAAGGAGGGAGTGCAGATTGGAGCGTGAGGCTGGGAGACGGGGACTGGCCCCCACCCGCCGGCCCATTACGTCCTGGCAGTTACAGATGGAGTAGGCTGGTAGGGGGGCAGCGGGAGCGTGTCTCTGAGGAGGGCGTCCCGATACCATCGGGCCCTCGCTGCTGTGGCGGCCCCTGCACCATCCATCACCGCTGCCTGCGGCCTCGGAATCCACGGTTACTGAGCCCCACTCGAGGGGGGGCATTTTACAGGCAGGCGTGCTGTACACAAGCACTTCTCCCTCTCTCTCTATCTCTCTCTCTCTCACACACACACACACACACACACACACACACACACTCACACACAAATAAATATGAATGAGACTCCCAGTGTGAGGACAGTTACAAACAATCAGGGGTGGGCTGGCACTGACCCGGGCAGGGCAGGGAATATCCGACCTCAGGGTGGTGCACAAACTGCCTCTCGTTGAGCCGAGTGACGCAGTAGATGCGGAAGCAGTCCAGACAGATGACATGGCGGTCAGGACATGGTGACACCAGCACTGGGCTCCTGGACAGGACGGGCACAACACAAAAAATACCATCAGCGTCACGGTGACACCTGGAATGCATCCAGCGGGGTTCACAAGCCGAGAGGTGATGAAGGGGGGGGGGTGAGGAGGCGAGAGGCGGAACGCCTAGACGGGACCTCCCAACCTATAGGAAAGCGTTGGCCCGAGTGCCTGATCTGACATCATCAACGAGCGACGCAGTGATAACGGCAGTGATGGGCGGAGCTTCCTCTGAGACGCAGGCACCCACAAAGCCACTGTCTCCCTCACAGCAGTACGGCAGGCTGGATATAGAAAACATCTGCTTCAGATATGGCGGACATGGGGGGGTGGGGGTAGGGTTACCATACGTCCGGACATGTCCCCTTTTTGGGCCCCCGACTGGGCATCTGGGTGGTTTTTCAAAAATCGACGGTGTGTATCAGGTTTAGTCCTGCAAGCCGTATGACAGAGTGTTGCAAGTTACAGTGGAGAACCAAGTGAAGGACAAGGCACCAACCTTCAATATACAGCAGCCACTCAGGATCATCACACAGCGTTTGCTAGGCCCGTGCACACGTTTACTTTAAAAATGAACACTTAATTTTTATTTTCATGTGAACTTTGAATCGCGTCATTTGCTTGAAGTTTAACAAACTTTAGCTTAGCATTTTGTAACTTTTGTTGAAAAAGACTTGGATACACATATTATGTCAGTTGTGTGTAGATTGTAAAGTGAGAGTTAACTGAAAGGTTGCCGCATGTCTGGGTTTCTGGGTGGTCAGGAAGGGTCGGAGGGCTTTATTGACCTCAGCTGACAAGGCCATCTTGGTCTCCCCCCAAACTCCCTCCTTACCCTCGCATCCTAAATGCATGCCGGCTGGACCTGGTGCCGCTCACTAGAGCTCATTATCGCTACTAGCCTCTAAGCCTTGAGTGACGTTTGACCCAGGATTCTCACAGAGTTGCCCCCCCCCCCGCTTCGCCCACCCTGGCAGAGAAACCAAGCAGCTTTAGTGGAATTAGTGCGGGGGACCCGTCAGAGCTGCCACAAACCTACTGCCAGGATCACTTTGCTGTCCTCTCTGCATGCTTCAAGCCCGATTTCAGTGCGCCGCTTGCTGATTTGGTTCCATTGTTTTCCCCTGATTGCAACTCCGCCCTCCACGACCTTTCGGTAAATACTGTACACAACGAGACCACAGCAGGACCTCCTCCTCCTCAGAGCTCCTGCCTCCACACAGTCTCCTCCTTGAGACCCGTCACGTGACTGTCTACAGCAGGGGTGGCCAATCTTAGAGGACTGCTAAAGGCATGCAGGTTTTTGGGATAACCTTTAGGTCGGCTGTTCAAACCCAGGTGTCAGGACTCTTCAGCCAATCAGTCCTCTAATTATTAATTTCATTAGCCTGCAATGAAAATCCGCATATACAGCGGCCCTTTCCGGATCTGTCTACCTAATCCTCATCTACAGTGAGGGGGCCTTTGAAACCCAAGTTGGGGGGGGGGGAACTCACAAGATGTCAGTGCAGGCGATGCAGGGGATACCCCGGACGTTGGGCGTAATGAGGTCCAGGGCCACAGATGTGTCATCAGCAGCAGTGGGGTGGGTGGCACACTTCAGGTAGAACTCCTGCAGGGGTAGCACTAAAGTTAGGACAGGACCTGGACCCCAAGTGTCTACTGGTGCCTCAGAGAGACTCCATCCATTGTGCTTCCTGTTAAAGGCCTACTTCGGCCACCCAATTCAGGCGCGATGACTGTTTTGGTGAGGGGCATAACAGGGGCTATAATTCATACAGAGGGGCCAACCTTATCATTAGCCAATGATATGTTTTGAACTGGTGATTGACAGGTGAAGGGAAACTCTGGGGGCCAATCAGCTTTCAGCTGGCCCCACCCGTTTATACACCCCTGACATGATTTAATGAAAAGTGCAAAGGCTGACGTGAAGAGCTGTGGGAACCTTATGGACAAGTTTTCTGAACACCTGAGGATATGACAGGAAATGGGAACTTTGGGAATATTTTGGGTGGGGGGAGGGGGGGCTCTTACCGCCATTCGGCCGTCACAGTCCTGGGACTGACATACACCGTGTATTCTGTTCGGGAGGAGAACATCGTCCCAACAGGAAGGACCCTGCATTGTGGGGGGAGGAATGGAAAAGTACTAGGATGACTAACTCCTCCAGCATACCTCAGCATACCCAGCATGCCTTGCCCAGATTTCCCAGCATGCATTGCATAATAGCTAACAGCAGAGGCCTGAGCGGCAGTGTGGAGACCAGAGCCTACCGATGTGCCTATGGCCTCATTTTTAAGCCAAAAGCAAACCAGCACAGTCAGGATCTTAGTCAGGCAGCAAAATCTTGAGTCGGCTTCACTTATCCAAACTCTAAAATGCAGGCCTGTGGACAAAGGTTCCCATGGGACGGGGATGCGGGGAGACCTCAAATTTGATGCAACGATCAGAAGACCCTCCCCAGAGCCTGATGGGATGTAGATTAATTGCAGTTTTTTCATGCAACCTGTGGATACCTATGCCATCTGACAGGATCGACAGGTTCGAGAGCAGAAGAGTGGACCAGGTGTGGCCCCGCCCAGGTTGCTAGACCACGGATCGGCTAACACACTAACGTTACTCATGAAGGCAAATGAGTACGGCCAGTAATGTATGTGTGTAATAATTGTAAAAATTCAGCTGCACTTAGAGGATGAGACAGCAGTGTGGCCACCCCACACCAGACTACCCCCCCACCCCAACTGGAGATGCCTTCCCAACTTCCCCCACGACCAGCATTAGCCCCAAGGCGCCAACTGCCAGCCCTCCTCTTCGTCGTCGTCCTCTTCCTCGGTCGCCCAGGCCCTGATTAGCATAAGCATTTAAACATTCTGACAGGCGCCTTAATAAGCCTCCGAAAGGTTAAGAAAATCATTACTTCCCCCGCGTAGGGAGGAGTGTGGCTGGGTGTTAATTTGGCAGGGCTGGATCCGGCACAGAGCGCCGGGGCTCCGAGATTACGCGCAGACACCTGCTCGGAGACAGCCGCGAAAGGTCACATGGACCGCCGGCATTCTCTCCGACACAAAAAACACCTCCGCTGAATGTAAATGATTAATGAGAGAACCGGCGATGAATAATTCACCGCACACCTCTGCATTGTCAGCGGAGGCCCGCCCTCCTGCCGTATCGCGCGAGAGCAAGTTTGCGCGTTCGCAACACAAGAGTAAGCGTCCGGATCTCCAAAGCTTTAATTATATTATTGTTTAACAAACACTGATTTGTTTTAAAGCAGTCTTAGCCACACCCCCCCCCCGAACCAGGTACATATATCTCGAATAACTACAATGGGCAAATCCCTCGACCCTAACCCCCACTACCCGCCCTACAAGGGCACAGTGAGTAAAGATGGAGTCAGGATGAGGCTGAGCAAATAGACTTTGGGTGCTGCTCAATATGCGTACTTGACCATACTGGTGTTCTCATGTACCCGATTTACGTCATCATCCATTGCCAAAGACCAGCTACGATACTCAAGGACAGAACTACAGAGGATGGTAAAAAATCCCTGCATGTCGTTCTTGCCCCGCCCCAAATATCAAGGATACATCGATCGCATCTTCGTCCAAACGAGAACAATCCCATGATTCATTGGGCCCCAAGTTCGTTCTTGGAAGGCAAGTCAGCAAGATCGGTCTTGCCAAGACCACAAGTACGGTCTTTGTGTTCTTGGTACCGAGAAACACCCTTTAGCTGAGCTGCTCCGGGGGCCATGGTGGAAGGGAGGTGCACATTTCCAAAGACAAACGGTCTCACTCTGCTATGAGGGGTCAGTGTTTCATTAAGCAGGCCTGACGTAAGCAGGTGTGTGTGTGTGTGTGTGTGTGTCTTTGTTTTTATCTGTTTATGAGAGCGTTTCAGCAAACAGCTCCCTACTGAGCAGTGATTGCCTCCCCTTGTGGGGACATCCCCATCAACTAAAAAAAACAAACAGTACGTGCCAAAGCTTTCCTTGTGCTATCAGATTCTGTTTGTTTTTCAGTTTCCTTGGGGGGTTATGGACCATTAATCACATTAAATATTAGCGTTTTAGTGTTGGAATCTAATTGCGCAGGTGTTTGTGCATGTCGCTGAGTGTTTGTTTATGTCTGTCTGTGAATGTGTTTGTGTGTGTGTGTGTGTGTCAGTGTTTGTGTCTGTTTGCCAGCATCACTACGTGCGTCTGTGTGTCTGTCAGTGTCACTGTGTGTTTCTCAGCGTCACTCGTGTGTATCTGTGTGTTTCTCAGCGTCACTGTGTGCATCCGTGTGTGTGTCAGTGTCACTGTGTGTATCTGCGTGTTTGTCAGTCTCGCTGTGTGTATCTGTGTGTTTCTCAGCGTCACTCGTGTGTATCCGCGTGTTTGTCAGTGTCGCTGTGTGCATCCGTGTGTTTGTCAGTGTCGCTGTGTGTATCTGTGTGTTTCTCAGCGTCACTCGTGTGTATCTGTGTGTTTGTCAGTGTCNTATCTGTGTGTTTCTCAGCGTCACTCGTGTGTATCTGTGTGTTTGTCAGTGTCACTGTGTGCATCCGTGTGTGTGTCAGTGTCACTGTGTGTATCCGCGTGTGTGTCAGTGTCGCTGTGTGTATCCGCGTGTTTGTCAGTGTCATTGTGTGTATCCGCGTGTGTGTCAGTGTCACTGTGTGTATCCGCGTGTGTGTCAGTGTCGCTGTGTGTATCCGCGTGTTTGTCAGTGTCGCTGTGTGTATCCG